AAGCACGCTCAGCGTTTCCAGATGCTCTCAACCACAGAAACGAATATTATAAGGCATGGGCGGTATGGTAAATTATACAGGGTGTATCAGGTTTGACTACAAAAATTTTAACACATGAAAATATGGCCCATTTTGAACAAAAAAAGTTTATACAACATGGGGTCCAAACTCAACCATTTTTAAGAGAAAGGCCTTCGAAGTTTTAACATTTTTTGACGAATATTTTAAAGGTAAAGAAAATTTTAATCATTAGAGATGTAGAAAAATTCAGTTTATCCAATTATTAGGTAATTATACATTTTTAGTCAACAACAATAACAAAAAATCGGAAAAAACAACATACAAATTTCACTTGTCAAAGGGTATCTAAACATCTGGCAACACAGCACAATAAAGAAAAGGTGGTTTAAGGTTGAACCTCGGTGGAGCTGAATAAATCGATTCTTGATTTGTCTTTTCTAGTTGGAAAACGCGCGTAATTCAAATTCATTCTTTTTTGGAAATAAAATGTTTAGAAACATCGAATATGCAGATACTTGTTTAGGCAGAATCGTTGCAAAATGCTCATTTAGCTACCAGAATTCACAGTGAAACTAGGGAAAGATTTTCCAAAAGAAAAGCACTCACCTGATGGAAGAACATTGTGCCCGTGTTACAAAGATTGCGTGATACAAGAAGTGTGAGTTGTGAGTGTGCAAAATCTGCGAGTTTATTTTAGTGTTTTGAGAACTTTTCAACAAAAATCAATATTTTCATAATAAGGATTTGACAAGTAGCTGAGTAAGTATTATTTGATTTTTCTCTTGAATGTTTAGTGCAAAAATGTCATTCAATGCAATTCACAACTTAATAAAATGGCACATTTTTTATTTTTACTAGAAAAGTGATAAAAATGCAAGTTGCTATTTACATTATTTGAAAGCCAATAACAAACCAAACCGTAAACAGATGGAAATAAATAAACGCCGTGCAAAAAAAAGTTTCAAATTTACCAGTTTTATTTACATTTATATCGTGGCAGAGATAAATACCTGTACAATGTTGTCACGTTGTTGACATTTTTCTAAATTTAAATTCTGCGATAACTCCGAAAACACTAACAATTGACCCATGGTCAATGGGACACTTTTAGCTTGAAATGGGCCATATTATCTCATGTTAAAATATTTGTACTCATACCTGATACACCCTGTATTTTAGAAGATAAGAATTGAGTCCTTTTTGAATGAAGCTCAATTATAATGTTTTTATATACCGGGTGACAACGAAATCATTATACAAGGCGTCATTCAGTTGTCTTTTTTAAAATTTTTTTAAAAATTTGAAAATCGGGTAGAACGGGTAAGTCATTGAGACGCACACTTATAAAAAACAATTGAATATCACTTCCGGTTACTTTGGAAATGGACCCAAGTCAAGAAACTTTTATGGAACTCTGTATATTTTTTACACAGTTGGATAGAGCTTAAAATTCCCTTTTCAATGACATATGATAAGTGGAATTTGCTTTTAAGATGGCGACGTGAGAAGGCACTTTCTTAAATTCAATATGGCGGCATTCTGATCTAACTTTTGAATACCTAACCGAAAAATGAATATGCATTTTGGTAGACATTTTTCGGAAGGCCATTGGACACACTTTAATTCTAGAACCTAATAAGTACCTCTTCCTATTCAAAATTTTTAGAAAATTTGAAACTTAAATTTGCATTTCAAAGAAATTTTGAAATGACCTTGTTTTTGAGCAAAATCATTTTTTTTTCAAATTCGATCTAAAACCATTTCAAATCTAAAAATTATGGATTGGGAAAAGTATTTGTTTGACAGAAACATTATCGGTTACGTCAGAATGTCGCCATATTGAATTTAAGAAAAATACCTTCTTACGCCGCCATCTTGGAAACAAATGCAAGTTGTGATATGTCATTGGAAAGGGAATTTTAAGCTCTATCCAACTGTGCAAAAAAATTTACAGGGTTCCATAAAAATTTCTTGACTTGGGTCCATTTCCAAAGTAACCGGAAGTGATATTCAATTGTTTTTTTTATGAAAAGTGTGCGTCTCAATGACTTACCCGTTCCACCCGATGACATTTTTTTCTACATATTCGAAATTTAAAAATAAAATTACCCGATCTGAGCCGAAATGAGCCGAGAAATGTCGCGGGGAACAAAGAGTGCGAGGGGGCCGTCGTTTCTCGTTTCGCCAATTTTTTCAAACAGTAACTAATAAAAATAAATAATAATAATATTTTTTTCGATGTATTTCTGACAGGGGGGTGCAAGTGCACCTCCGCAACAAATTCACTGTCCGCATCATTTGTTTAAGTAATTGTCTAATGGCCGGTAATCGGTATTATAAAACACTGAACCAGGGCCGTAACTAGAATCAAATTTATGATAGGGCATGACAAATTTGACATAGGGTATACACTACTTGCCCCCTCCTTAAATTTTTTATAGGTAAACAAAATGGGGCTAATGACGCAGATTGCCGAAGGCAAACTTTTCAATAAATCAAGGTTCAGGTTTGTCTGGTAATGGGTAACTTGATGACGCATCTGATCTGGGGTAACTTATAGAGATTTGCATTATATTGAGGCACCCTAGATGACGTCATAAAGTTACCTGGCAACCTACCTCTATCGCCTCTATCAAACAACCTTGCAATAAATAACATCTCTGGCAAGTAAACAAAATGGCGCTGATTCCCTCGCCAGCCGCCTTGGGCCATTCGTACTCTTTCAAAACAAAAAATCTTCCTCTGTACAAACGTCAAACATTGTTCATTACATTTAGGCGACTTAGGCGTTTGCGGAAACATTCATCCTCGCTTACTCGATTTCAGGCATTAGCTATTCTTAAATTTTCTAGAGAAACCTTAATGCATGTTGATTTTTAAAGGTAGGGTATCATTATTTAAAAGATAGGGCATTGCCTCCCAATGCGCCCCTGGCTTCGGCCCTGCACTGAGCCGATGGTTGAGTTTCAACATTCGGTTTACTCCATGCAAATTGATAGGATTCAACCGAAGGTTGAAACTCAACCATCGGTACGAACTCTCTTTTACTGCTTTCTTGTTCAAAAGACTATTTCTAGGGAGGGGCAAATGCCCCCTCTTGCCCCCCCCCAAACGACGCCCATGGTTCTGAAGCGTTTCCAAAAGTTCCATATGATTTGTAAAGTGTTCTGGAGCGTTCCAAAATACTCCTGGAAATTTTAACTTGGATCTAAACATAAACTTTAAAGAAACTCAAGCTTTCTCAAATGTTCCTGAAAGTTCGAAAGTTTTCTGGGTCTGATCTATAATGTATCTGAAACTATAATTTGATTCTAAAGTGTTCTGTTGCGTTTTACAATGTTCCTGCAAGTTCCAATGCGTCTCGAACAAATGCAGGAGGATTTAAAATGGAATTGAAAGTCTTATCAAAGTTCTAAATTTATTCTAAAGTGCTCTAGAACGTCACAAAATGCCTAAAAATATTCTAACTTGGCGCTAGCGCATTCTGAAGCTTTTTAAAATGGTTTCTGAAGTTCTAATTGGTCGCTTTAATGCTCTTGAAGCGCCGAAATGTTCTAGAAGTTATCAGAAATCCCCCATATATTCTTAAGCGCTTTCTGGTAGTTCGTAAGTGTCGTGACGATTTTCAAGATATTCTAAAAGTTTCCAGTTTTAAATTGTTTCCAAATTTCCATATGATTGGTAAAGTGTTTTCCAATCTTCTTGAAGATTCCAATTTGTCTCAAACAAATGCAAACAAAATTGAATTGAAAGTCTTCTGAAGCTGATCAAAGTTCTAAATTGCTCTTCAGCGTCTTAAAATGCTTAAAAATGTTCTAAATGGCGTATATATCAAAAACATAAGTATCCACCAAAAACATCAAAAATCCATCTTCTATCCCTGCTTCTTCATCAAATCCAGGTAAAAGTATGGCAAATAAGAATAAATCACAAACCTATTGGAACAGAAAAACCTTTGCCTGATCCACTTTGCCCTTTTGATTTCCACCCTATTAATGGAGAGATGAAGATAAGGCACTTTCTTATGTATACAATGTTGAAAAGGTTTATTAAAAAAAAAATCTGAAAGTAATGTCTGCCCAACGACTTTGTGTCTACGGGGCAACGGTAAGGGGAATGCAGATGTAAAAAAAAATGGCTGATTTCATTCATAAAATACCCAGCTGCGTGCGGAACTTTTTGGAAGTCTTATCGTATTGCAACTCCTACACGAAAATCGATAATGACCAAACCCCCGCCACTGGATATTTCAATATAAATTGATATTCCAAGATGGGAGGATAAAATGACGGAAGCCCTGGCCAATAGTGAGACGTAAGGTGACATTAGCTCATTGACAACCGCATGGTTCCCCATGGCAACGGCCATCCTGCCAAAAACTTCACCAATCAGGTTCATCCAGGCCGGATGCTTGCCAAATTGTCAAAAGCTGATGGTATCTTTAGAAAATGTTTATTTTTCACAATGGACAAAATTGAAGAAATCAGTTGTTAGGATAAGAATAGATCTAAGATCCACGTTGAAATATTCAGCGTTATATTTGGTATCTATATTTTGTTATTAAAAAATGGATTTTCAATTTCATGCCTAGTATTTTCGCTTTTTTATAATTAAACGTGGCAACATCCCACATTTACGTCCGAATTCCTTCCGTAGACTCAGAACCGCTGGGCAAACAATTTTTTCAAAAATAGTTGTCATTAGAAAAACAGGTATGGGTACAAGTCTGCATCAGGTAGTGAGTTACGACTTTATAACCACTAGTGTGTTATAGCCCAGATAGGTTCATTTAAAACTGAAGCAATTATAGTGTCATTATGTCACGTAAAAGTTTTCCCAGTTATAATAAATCACGTGCCTGATACAATGTTTCCAAAACTTTTATATAATCCTATTTCAATAATAAATTATAGAAATAATTAAAAAGATGTCATTATCATCAGGAAAAAACATAGGGGTCATAATTCACTGTGTGAGTTCTAGGCCAATTTATTCATCAAAAATCAAAATTATTATTATAGCGTCATCACATGACAGGGTTGGATACAAAAAAATTAAATACACTTAAAAATATCACGCTTGACTAAAACTATACATTATATTTTTTCGAACAGGCACAGTATTAAAGATATTACCAAATCTTAAATATACACTAGTTTATTGCAGCGGCGGATTTAGGATTCCTTCTAGGGGGGGTGATCCATCAGGGCCTCAGGCTCAGATAAGAAATAATAAAAAAACGACTTAAATATACAGAGTGGCAAAAAAGTCGCGTATAATACCTGTAACTTTCTAATTACCTCGTATACGAAAAAGTGACCTTAATGAAAGTTGCTCAGTAAATAAGGGACATAAAGCTTCCGTATTTTTTGCTCGGTATCCGTATCGGTATCGTACTGCGCATGTGCAGAAGCGATACGCAGGCCGAGATACCGTACGTACAACACAACGTAACGTTACGGCCCTCTCGCGGTATCCGTATCGGTAACGTATCTTGACATTTCTGACGCATGTGTCAAATTTCAAATGAATATAACCTCCCTTTTCTTCCGGGTTGATTTAATTTGTTTAGTTTATACTTTCTTGAGTTTCTTGTGTGTTTAGTGCTTCTCTATCGCAAAAAAAATAACAATTTTAAGGTTAGATATAAAAACGTCGAAGTTTTGAGACAAAAATGTCTAGGTTATGAAATGCGTTTACGTTTACCGGAACAGGGAGCGCTTTAACAGCCTTTTCGCTTGTCAACGTATCTAGTTGCGTTACGGCTACCGATACCGATGAATTATTTCAAGTAGCTTTATGTCCCTAATATTTCCCACAATTCTACTTAAACGTATTGCCTGTGTCACTTCTGGTTTGTTTGCTATCTAGACCAACTTTCTTTTTTTCAAATAAAACACCCTGTATGTGATTGCATATTTGGATTCTACGTAAAATTCTGAGCAGATTTCATGTGATATACCCTGTACCTAAGTTCAACTGTTTTGGAAATATTGACAGTTGAACATTGACTTTTTGCAAATTTACAGGCTGTAAAACCTGAACGGTTAATTTCAGAGGAAAACCGATTTCACATTCCTATCTTAGATTTTCATAAACTATCATTTGACATCAACATTTAATTTAATCGGAGATTAAATTTAATTGAAATTTTCAATTATAGATTAAATTCAAAGTTGGTGCGGATTTACGTCATCCGCAGTCGATTCGCTCCCAGCTCGCTGCTGCCAAACGTATTTAAAAGTATTAAAAATTTGGAAAAATAGCAAAAACCATATGGAATTTCATGTTGGATAATGCTTGATGAATATGTTTGTGTTTTCGTTAAATCCGCTAAATCCGCCACTGGTTTATTGCATTCCAATATTTCACCTAGATACTATTAAACAATCTTGGAAAATGAATCAAAACAATAAAATTGAATATAGAAATTTTTGTACAAAAGAAAACATTGTTGCTTAAAAAATAAATTAGGTAAAACATTGAATACAAAAATTCTTGTACCAAAAACAAGATTGTTTAATAGGGTTGTAAAATGCTCACAGGAAAAGTCAATCGGACAGGTTAAATATAAATTATTAGTGTACACAAAAAAATCTTCGACAGGAACTTCAAGGCTGGTTTGTGTACAAAGTTCTATTTATCCTATGTACAACTGTACAAACAGGTACGAATGAGGAAGAAATTACAGTAATTCCCCAATTTTAAAGTCACAGCCCAGAATTTGGTTATTGACAAGTGATAATGGGCGGTAGACAGTTCTGATGAAAAAGTTTCGAATATAAATTGAATTAAATTAAATTAAAAACTCCACTATCTTTTCATCAATTAATTTCCGCCTCAAAATCTCCAAAAAAATGTTGCCAAAACCAAACAAAAAAATACTAATTATTCATATAGGGGGCGCAGAATTATCATCAGTCGAAATGTCTAGATTATTAACGTCAATAACGGGACGCCCTAACTCTTTATTCACCAACGAGCCCAAAGCGCATACAGCATCTTTAACGGTATGATAAATAATATTTTTAATTTGCAATTTATCCTCGTGGTTAGAATGGTTGTTGCTGAGTGCACGGAACTCTTGCGTCAAGTGGGAACAGTGGACCACATTTTCTGGACTGACAAAATCCTCAGCTACTTTAATACAATTGTTTAAGTTACGCACTTGATGAGGAGCCCCCGCTGGAATAAAAACAGCATCCCCCTGGCACTGTAAAATGGCATAACCTTGAACTCCATATTCTTTATACAGTCTATAACGTAGAGGACCATCTAAGTAACCGCTTTGATCGTGAATAGGGTCGGTGTGCGGCTCTAACCGTCCACCCAGTTCAACAGTAACTCTATTGAGTAAGTCTCTAATTTTATCGGCATCGCGAGCCTGAAAAATGTGCCACAAGGCACCAGGCAGTTCACCTTTATCGCACACCCGTCGCCTAGTTAAAAAATCACATCCAGCTTCATCAATAGCTGCAAGGGTTTCTTCAAAATGTTTATTAGAATCGCCGTCTTGTGAAACTTCTACGTAAACCATAACATTGACGGCATCGCTGACGTCCAAATGTAAATTCGTAGTTGCTTTATCTGCAGGCAATGGTTTACCATAGGCATTGTACATTTTAGGCCCCAAATCTGGCCTCACGAAACACTCAGGCAATCGAGCAGCTAAATTAAGTTTCCCGCTACGTTTGGTATAATCTTGCAGTGGCAGTGCTTGCATCAAGTCTTGAAATCTTGTAGGTAACATTTCCGCAAAGTCCTCGCCCGGAGGCCAGTCTTTCAGTTTCAGTAGCATTGGCAGTCCTTCAAAGTCTTTCAATCTTTTTGAGGGGTCTACGAAACCGTCCCAGAATTTGTGCATTGGTTGATTCGGAACCATACTTCCAGAAACGCAATTTATAAGGTGGTTCTTTTCGTCGCCAAAATCACGAGCGAAAGCTGCCGGGTTCCATAAGTTTTGATCTAGTAGCTTTGAAACATCGGATACTATCACAGGTTGACCTCGTTTCCATTGTTCCTGAAATAGAAAAAAAAAACATTTGTCATTAGTCTATTACTATTACTATCTAGTCGATATGGGCTGAGGTGAGATTAGAACTGTTAGTTTTTGAGTGTTTGTTTCGAATACTGACACCAGTGACACCCTACACACCGTGAAGTAGTTTTCTTTTTTAAGTTTTAGACTGTGACCCCGGAGTCTCTGGTCTGTGTACAAGGCATAGAGGTGTCTAACTGTTAATGTTGTTGTGGAGTGTTTGGTAGGTGAAGATAAGATCTCCCCTTGTTCTTCTATTTTGGAAGCTCAGCAGTTTTTGTCCTCACAGCTTAAAGCCAAACACTCACATATCAAAAGAATGGAAAGACGCACCCAAGATTTTGAGAACGATATATTTGAGGACAAAAAACGGAGTATAATGAAAATTGATGAGCTAAATGATAGTATAAATAAATTGAAATTGGACATATTTAAATTGAATGAGGAAAACATTGCCCTGGCCGCAGAAAAAATGATTATGTAAGAGGAGCTGAATAAGGTGAATACACATTTGCAGGAGCTTATGGAAATAAATCGTAATATGATTGACTCCATCAGGACATTGGAGGCTCAAAATGAAATGTATCAGAGGGAAATCCTTTGCCAGAACTCATTTATAGTGGAGGAACGAACAGTAACACCACCTGTTGAGTCCACTAATGTAAATGAATCATTTTCTGCTGTGAATAATGATGAAGTTTCAGCGAATATTCTTACTGAAGGGAGCCGTTCTAAGAGGGACATTAGCGCGGACTTTTTAGATTTTTTTGAGGGTTGGTATGAAAAATATATCTGTGATGTTAATTTGAATTGGTTATACATAATTATACATACATACATATACAAGTAGGTTGAGATTATATAGTAAAGAGGTAGGACTCAACCAATTAAATTAGTTATTATTCATTCGCAATCCGATGTCCACAGGTACAGGTAAAATTTATCACCTTTCAATGCTATTTGATAGGGAAAGGTGTTAAATTTACCTGTACCTGTGGACTTCGGATTGTGAATAGGATATACAAAAGTGACTAGATTGACTTAATTTTCACAAATGTGATGACAATTAGGCAATTCAAACCACGTGACATTCAAGATGGCGTGGCGGCCACACATGGGCCAAAAAACACAAAAAATATCTAGTTTCTGCCCGAATTAATAGTTTAGGTACCTAGTCAACAAATATTTTATTAAATAATGAAAATCAAAGTTGTAAGCAAAACTGTATGCAAAATAATTTAAAATACGCATAAAAACATATTCAAAACAAACTTGCTTGGCCGCCACGCCACATTGAATTTTCCTTTTTGACAGATGAATTGAATTGCCTAATTGATTATTGTAATGTTTTAGATACCCCTTAGAAGTAGTGACCATTATATTTTGTCTGTAGGAATTGATGTCTGGGGCATGAAAAGCCAAAAGCCCTTTTTTGTGGAAACTCGTGAGAGAAATATAGACTTTAAATATGTGCAGGAAAAACTTGGGTGTTAATTGGATGTTTAGTAATGTTGATATAAATGTAAAGTGTAATATGTTCCTCAATAATTGTTTGGCTGCTTTGAACGAAATTGCGCCCAAGAAGCAAGTAAAAATACAGGCTAAATATAAACCATGGTGGAATGAAAGAGTTGAGAGTGCTGTAAAGGAGAAGGATGAGTGCTACAAAAGGTATAAAGTTGATAATTTGGAGTTGAATCGTGGTATAGTCCGACAAATACCATTTTAAAGTCACGTGATACTGGTGGCAAAAAACGTATGTCCATTGATTATGTCGTTGATATCACCTACAAAAAGCTACTGGTGGTTAATTACTATTGAATTTTAATATGTTCCCACTAGCATTTTACAAACGCGTTTCTGAAGTAGTATTGACCAATCAGAGGGCAATTTTAATACTTGCAATTGTTGCGAGACTCACTTTTGTTGCATCTGCTGTCTGTTGTAATACATTCTGAACTTAAACGGAGTACCCGTTTTCTATTTGCTTCTTTTCGAGTTGGAAAAAGGTTAATATAGTCAAAATTATTAGCTGTGTTTGTTCGTTGTATTACTTTCGAAAATAACTTTGACAAACTAATTGATGGCAGTGACGGATTCTATTTCAGGTAAGAATATTATGAACAATAATTAGACAGCAATTTTTTTGTCAATTTTACTATCACCGCTGTTTGAGATGTATTCAACAAGGATAGAGAAAAATCACGTGACTTTAAAAAGGTATTTGTTGGACTAGTCCGACAAATACCATTTTAAAGTCACGTGATACTGGTGGCAAAAAACGTATGTCCATTGATTATGTCGTTGATATCACCTACAAAAAGCTACTGGTGGTTAATTACTATTGAATTTTAATATATGTTCCCACTAGCATTTTACAAACGCGTTTCTGAAGTAGTATTGACCAATCAGAGGGTAATTTTAATACTTGCAATTGTTGCGAGACTCACTTTTGTTGCATCTGCTGTCTGTTTAAGTTGTAATGTAATACATTCTGAACTTAAACTGGGTACCCGTTTTCTATTTGCTTCTTTTCGAGTTGGAAAAAGGTTTATATAGTCAAAATTATTAGCTGTGTTTGTTCGTTGTATTATTTTCGAAAATAACTTTGACAAACTAATTGATGACAGTGACGGATTCTATTTCAGGTAAGAATATTATGAACAATAATTAGACAGCAATTTTTTTGTCAATTTTACTATCACCGCTGTTTGAGATGTATTCAACAAGGATAGAGAAAAATCACGTGACTTTAAAATGGTATTTGTTGGACTATAGTATATGATAATTCGGTATATGGACTATAGATGAAGGCAAATCATATGTAGGAATATCATGATGGTTATTCGAATAGACTGAGGAAACATAATCTGCAAACATGTCAGCAATCTCCTCACTTGAACAACTTGGTCTGTCACTGTATTCAAGTTCGCTAGGAAAAGCATTGCCAATCCTTTTCTAATTTACAAAAGACCAGAATTTTTTTATGTTGGAATTAATAGTTATTTCGGTCCTATGAATATAATTTTGATAGTATTCTGCTGTCAAGCTCTTGCACAGCTGACTTAACCTAGAAAATTCATGATAATCCACATCAGAGCGAGATGACTTGTATTTGCTATGCTTTTTTCTTCAGAATTATATAGTTTCTTAAGTCGACTGAAAATCATATCGGGAACTTTCTAGCAGAGAACTTTTTCAAAGGTACTTTATCAATGGCAATATAGATATTTCATAAAAAAAATATTTAACATCATATCAAGAGTTTGATTACAATGTAGAAAGTCCCAATTAAATTGATTTAGGAACATAACAGTATCCTGAAAATTAGTAGAAGTCTCTATAAAAACCGTCATATTCAAGACAGTTCTCAGTAGTGTCAGAACAGTTAGCTCTCAAAATATCACTTAAAGGTGGGAGAACAACTGGAGGAACAAAGAAACAGTCAGTAGATTGAACTTCGGTTGAAGAGACTTGTGTGAGAATCAGGTCTAGGAGACTATTGTGAGATGACAAATATTAATGACATCTTAACATCTTAATCTGTGTTAATATGTTATTGACAAATATTTATTGATTTGTAACAAATTATGAAAGTTACATACAATTATTACGTTTGACATAATCTGAATACGTCCAATATTCGAGAGCACCGTAGCACTCACTGAGGAACTGTTGTTGACTCTCCGCCATGAGGCGAGCGGCATATTAAAGTCACCAAATACACGTAGGAACTTAGATACTTACATTTAGGGAATTTACCTATTTTAAGTGCGATATTTAATGATAATTATTTATGGACGGGTATGTTAGAATAGGACAAAAAAATTAAACAATCTAGAAGCGTATTCGAAAAAAATAAAAAAAATAATGATTTTGTGGTGATAAATAGTTTTTTTGTAAAATTGCCAATTTGAAAAATAGCAACCCTGTATTATCTGGCGCATAGAACTTATTACATAATTGAAATGGAATCTTACCTGAAAAATTTCCAAGTTATCCTTACAAACTGGATCAGTTAACCTCAATACTTTCCCACAACACAGCCAAGAATGTGGTATATCGGGATACAATACTGTACTGACTGTTTCAGTCATTATCCTAATCGGAACCTTCCGTTGCCCCTCGGTTTGCCAATTATACCTTCTGATAAATTCCAGTGCATTGTTTCCATTTTGGATGCTTTCTTCATGTTTCTCCTTTTCAGATGATGTGGATGCCATTGGTTGGAAAAGTTGTTTTTTCAGAATTAAAGGATCCTCCTCCTCTTCACTACTGGAATCATATCTACCACTGTAACTTTCTTTCAAATTATTTTCAAAAGTAACATTGGCATGAACATCTAAAGAAGTTTGTTTCTCTTTCAGGTTTTTAGCCATTATATTTTCTACAGCTTTTCTGCATTCTGTATTATTGACTATAGATTCTTTCGAGTCGAGACATCCACAAAACTTCTTAATTGACCACAAATCTCTCATTTCATGGACCATTTTTCCTAGTTTGAGTAAACAATCATCTGCAATTATTTGGGTAGGCATAAGTTGTTCTGACCTGTGCAAGCCACGAGTTGTGCATCTCAACCACGATTTCTCCTCACGTTTCAATACTAAAGCACTTGAGCGTCTATATAAATCACTTGCACAATTCTGAAAAAAAAAGAACTCTTAATAAGCTGAATAAAACGGTTTGAAAAATAATTTATTTGTTATAAATTGTTCTTACTTTGTAACAATCTAGACACACCACAAAGCCACATTTCCTGCATGTCCAATGATAATTGAATAACGTGGTTTCACAAGCATCACACATTTCCCTTACGCCGGGCACAACTCTTTTCCAGGCTACTATTTCATCTAAAAACGAAAAAAATGTATTTGAGAAGTTAAAGAAGTAAGATTGTGACTTACTATCAGATATGTGCAGTTTACGTGCCTCTTCTTCCTCCTTTAAAAGATTACAAAAATGATCGCCAACTCGCATCAATAAAAACAACGCAGTTTCCAAGTCTATATCAGGTGGAGGTTTTAACGTATCTGGTAGCCATAATTTATAATTGATGTCCTATAAAATCAAAACATATTATTACTTGATGAGTATTTTTGCAAAATTTTTACCAAAGCGTCTGTTTCAGTAGAGCTAAAACCAGCTGCAAGTATTTTTCCGGTTTTTGTATACCTCAGTTTCCTAAACTCGATGAAACGACAATAAACGTTTGTCGTACTTGGCGTCCATCCGCACTCTCGGCATTTTCCTATTTCTGGAGGTAACTGAAATTAAATAAAAACATAATTTTTTGCAAAGTCTTTCATATAATTATCATTACCTCAAGGCAAGGAACATTTTGTAGGAAGCTCTCACTATTGTATTCTAACTGGCACACTGAAGGATGGCTTGAAGAAGCTTCTGGGAGCTCTTTGTCAGGTTTGTTCCTGTTGTTTTCTAGAATCTTTAATAAACATAATAATAATTACTAATGAAAACAATTTCACAAGTCAAATGAGTCATTATATAAATTTTGATAACAATGAATGAACAGTGGACCTTTGAATCCATACAATGTTGTAATTTTCTTCTTTGCCCCTCTGGTAGTATTGAATCATGGAAATTAATAAGAAGACAATCATCAAAACTATAAATGGCCTTTTTTTTACATAACTTTCCTTTCAGAACTAAATAACTAACAGAACTAGGTAAATAACCTCAGACCTTAATACTACTTTGGAGGGATAAAATAGCCTCTCTCCATACAAATTGAACCACCTTCACTTTCAGCAAACTTGTCACCAAATTGCAAACCAACAGGAATCAAATTTTATCAAAGATAAGAAATTTTATTCTGACAATGAAAAAGGGAATCAAGAAATCCTGGAAACAAATAACATTGAGTATTCTCATTGGACTGTTCAAGAATCAGTAATTAATTGACATTATTATAAGTCTATACGGTAATCGAGATATTATTACCTCAAGACAAGGTCCCTTGTTTTGCAACTTGTCTACTGGATGTTGGCACAAAGAAGCTTGAGGTGGCTGTTTTTCAGGTTTATTCGCGTTTAACTCTTCACTCCTGACGTTTTGTAGAGTCTATAATTAAAAGAATATTTACTTACAATTGTATAAATAAAGCAATTTCAAATCATAAGTCTTATATAAATTCCAATATTGAGAATAACCTGAATTAAATACAAACACTATTTTTCAAAAAGTCTTCTAAATATATATTATTACCTACCTCAGGATCAGGTGGAATTTGCAGAACGTTCTTGCGCTTGTTTTTCAGCTTGTCTAGTAAAAGTTGGCGCCAAGAAGCTTGAGGGGGTTTTCTCTCAGGTTTATTAGCGTTTAAATCTTCACTCCTGACGTTTTGTAGAATCTATAATCAAAATAATATTCACTTATGATTGTATACATAGAGCAATAAGACATATTATATATTTATTTAGTTATTTATCGACCATTGAATGTAAAAATCTTACAAAATATATTATTTTGACAAAAACCCACTGTGATCAACTATAAATCTCCTACACAAATACGTCATCATATAACTTAATAAACCTACTTTCAGTTATCCCAGCAATTTCCAAATTATTCTGATTTATCAGTGAAAGAATTCTACTTAAAGGAAAGTTCAAACCAAATAATGTTCTGTGAAAATCTAGATAACATAGATATTTGTGTCTTACTCGTCTTACAGGAACATATGAAGCTTGATTTTTTCTAATAATTGAGGGCAAGGTCATAAACAAAGCGCAATTAAATCCTTAATCTATGAAACTCCAAGGAGTCAAGTTTAAGGTTCTTTCTTATGCCCTCATAATTATGATCGATTACACGAACCCCAGTCTGATATGCACAGAACCGGAAAAATTTGTTCTCAACTCTCTATTTATGATAAGGTGACTATACAATGCAACCATATTCCAATGAAGATCTTACTTCACTTGTGTAAATACATTTAGCAGAAGTAATTGAGAAATTCTTACAATTCTTTAAAACAAAACTCAACAGCTTGGAGGACTGTACAACTACATTCTTAATATGTTCAACAAATTTTACTCCGTCATCAAAAGTCCAAGGTCTTTTATTTTAGGTGTATATTTAATTCGTTCAAGCTGGATTTATAGTGTCAGTAGCAGTAACAGTAGCAGTGAGCAAAAGCTAATGGTATATATACTATGATAAAAGTCTTGTGTAATATCATTAATAAATATATTGAAAAGCAATGGTGAACAGTGGTCGCCCTGCTGTACATCATATGTTGCTTAAATATTTTCAGACAAAAAAAATACCAATATTAACTTTTTGTACTCTACCAGTAAAAAAACTAGAAAATCACCGAATTATGTTTGAATGGAACCCAAACTGATGCAATTTCCCAAAAAGCAAACCATGATCACACTATCAAAGGCCTTGGAAAAAATCTGTATAGATAACATCAACTTGATTCTTATCTTCCAAGGCCTTCAACAGTAATGACTGATTTGAAAGCAAGTTGGTAATTGTGGATTTGCCCCTTTTAAAACCATGCTGATTTTCATCGATTAGTTTATCAAACAGGTTTGGAAAGGTAGAGTGGGTACAAATACTTGTAAAATTTATAATGTTTTGTTTATCACCACTTTAAAAATTCGGTACTAAAAAGCTTCGTTTCCATAACTGTGGGTATTCTGAACCAATCATAATAGTTATTTATCTACTTTTTTCATGACTTTGTGGTAAACGCAGTTGAGGACAAACAGCAAGTCTTTGACAGTCTGTGTCATTCCTTGCTGCTCAAGGAACTGAAATTAATGGGAATCTCCGGTGTCTATCTCTCTTGGCTTGGATCGTACTTACGTGAAAGAACTCAGGTGGTAGTACTTCAAAGAAAATAATGTTACTCTCGGGAGTACCCCAAGGCTCCCATATTGGCCCAATTTTATTTTTACTTTTTATTAATTACATTAGAAACTGTTTCAAATCTTCTCATTTTCTTCTATATACTGACAACTTGAAATTCTATAACATTGTGGATTGTGGATAGTTCGATTTACAATCAGATCTGAACAGGGTAGTTTCTTGGTGCAATGACAATTTGTTAAATTTGAACATAAGAAAATGTAGAACTTTAAGATTTTTTAAAATTATTAATCCTCATTTGCACCAGTATACTGTAGGTGTCTCTAATAAATTCCCAAAAGCTCTTAAAGTTGGTCTTGCAACTGTTATCTCAATAATTATAATATACTCAAATCGACAGTCACTAGAGAGTTTTTTACACTAAGAACAACAGTACATTCTTGTTTGTTAAAATCAGTGTCATCCAACGCTTTTATAGAAGTTAAATGCCTAAGTTTTGCCGAGAACCAAATAATTTGTTTTGGACTTTTATACAGGTACAAAATATGCAACTGCCTCAGCCAATACTTCATAAACCACTGATGTAGCACTATATATATCAGTGTTTTGAAGGATATCGCCCCACTGAATTGACATAAGATAATCATTAAGCCCTATAAAGTTGCAAATCATAGTAAAAATCAGTAACCTCCAACCCTGTCTTATTCCTATCATTAAGTAATATCACACAATCATAAGCAATGTGGTAATGACTATCTTCAAAAAGTGTATCACTGCCCTCATTAATAAATAAGTAGGTTAGCCATGTTTGTAAATGCCAAGTCTAAAAATACCCCTCTGTTAATCAGAGTGTTATTAACTTGAAAGAAATCAGAAAATCCAAAAGATGTGGCTACAGTCAAGGCATTTGAATTTTCAGGACTCATTGGACTAGTTAGCTTCTGGTAAGTTATAGACTCTGGGTGGGAAGTTTTTCGTGCCCCACCCTGTACATTATTAAATGGTGACGTCAAGGTGGTTATGCAAGGTGGGGCACGAAAAACTTCCCACCCAGGTTTTCTCAGATGTTAGGTGATTAATCAAAAATCGCTCGGACACGGCAAATTTGTTTTTTGGGGGACACATTTTATTGGTATTTTCACCCCCTACCTGTCAACCCTTAAACGGGGGTGACAGGTACCCCCAAAATTTCCAATGGAGAGGGGGGTCGAGTGATACGTCATTTGATAGCTATTTTTATCAAGAATATATCCTCGAAATCTTAAGTTGCTACTGTTTACCCTGCCGAAATGACGGCAAAGTTGTGTGGTTTTTACCTCAAACATATTTTTTTGAGGGAATAAACATGAACCATTTTCGACTGAACTGTTGAATGACAATATTTAAAATGAATAACAATGTTGTTTTATTACTATGGATAGGTACCCCTTAAAAAATTGGTTGTTTTGCTATTATGAGGTGAAAACCACACAGTTCAGGTACTCGAAAAAAAGCATTTTTCCTTATTTTGACAAGCCGCCATTTTGGCAGGGTGAACAGTAACAACCTAAAACTTCGAGGATATAATCACAGCATCAGCAGGCTAACTCTCACGCGCATCTTTTCTGCGCACACCGCCATTAGGGGATACTATCCTGTCATTAAACGGCAGGGACGCCGACACTTTAATTTATTTGTTTAGTTCTGACGGAGGTCATAGGCGTGCAGTGTAGAGCGGATTTTTAGTTATGATTTTGAAAGTGATTTTAGTATATTCGTGTTGCCATTTATGGTGTTATCAATTATCATTCTTGTATATTTAAAAATATTAATAAATTAGTAAGGATTAATATTATTATATGTAAGTTATATTAAATTAGTTTATTTAGAGCCAATACGACTCTGTGATCCGAAAGCAAAAATCTAAATTATTGTTAATCAGGTCCTGTCTCGTATCCCAAAGTGACATCCCGACCATGAATTCCTTTATTACACGGGCTGTCACTCAAGTTAGCCTGCTGATTGTTTTTGTATATGCTGCGATATAATCTTATTTGAAATATCTATCAAACGACGTATTACTCGACCTCCCTTTCCATTTGAAATTTTGGGGGTACCTGTCTCCCCCGTTTAGAGGTTGACAGGTGGGGGTGAAAATACCAATAAAATGAGTCCCCCAAAAAACAAAAATTGACGTGTCCGAGCGATTTTTGATTAATCACCTAGCACCTGAGAAAACCTGAGTGGGAAGTTTTTCGTGTCCCACTCTGTATATAAGGACACCCCCACCACTTTGCTTCAAGCTTGTTTTAGTAGTTTGGTCAAAGCGAAAGCTGAATTTCTCCATCATCAATTCCCTCACATAAGTTGCTCTCAACCAACACTATGACGTCATAAGTGGAACAGTTAGCTGTAGTTATGAGATATTCTATTCTAAAATTCATTTCACGAAACGAGATAGTGAAAGTAAACAAACTTTGACAGGTAAGTCAAATTTCATTGGCTAGAAAAGGACCAAACTCCGCCCTAGGCAGGACCGTCTTAGGTTGTTTTGTATTTCCCTTCTATGAATATATTTGCGAACAAATTCTTCAGCGGAATTTGTTGAACTTGATATTGTTTCAATCTAAATTTTTCACTTATTAACAATAAATTTACCAAACACTATTCAAATAATTGTAAAATACTAGGAAGTGTGGCATTAAACTTATTGATTTATATGACAACCTGACAATAATAAATGTCATTAGTTGTAATTAATATTTTCCTACGACCATATACGAAAATGACAAAATCTGCACTAGTTGGTTCTTTGGAAAGCGCTAAATATCACACGCGTGCTGAAAATACTTTCAATACGCGTGCTTAAAGTACTTTCAGCACACGTGTGGAAAATACTGTTGACATTAATGTGATTGACATTTGACATCAAAATTTACTTTCAACACGTGTATTGAAATTACTTTCAGCACGTGTGTTGAAAATGAAAAAAAAAATAACATAAGAGAAAATTGGTGTAAATTGGTTTCTGGTCGTAGGAAAAATGGTGTACTTCACTTATGAGAAAGCGACTTTTACACACTCGTGTGATTTTCGCACTCGGCTGCCGCCTTGCGCGAAAAACCACTCGTGTGAAATTTGTCACTTTCTACACTCGTAATGTAATATACTATTTTGCAGTCCTTCTCTGAATTTTCAAGCTCCGCCTGTTTGTTTACCTCTACTATCTCGTTTCGTGGAATGAACTTTAGTGCGAAGAAAACCAGTGTTCATATAAAATATTGTTGATAGGGTGTGCGTTTTTTTGATTGTTTTAACTGGGCTGACTAGAAACTCCAATAACAGGCAGGCCATGTTTGTATTTAAGAATAACATTCTCGCCTTTTGCTTTGTGATCCTTAAACTCAGCCCAAACTTGTATGTGAGTATCTTGTTGTTTCGTCAAATCTCTTGAAATCTTCATATACAGGGTGTTTATTTTAAACCTATCTCGGAGTTGAAATTTTTTTGAAAAAATCCCTGAAACATGTCACCTATAATTTGAAGGCGGATAGGTTCTATGCAAAATTCACCTCCCCCTTTCAACCCCGCAGCATCCAGAGCCGCCCCCTAGAAAATCTTAAAAATGGGAATACTTAGGGGTGGTAAGTTTTAAAATGAACACCCTGTAAATCCCAATATTGAAAATAATTTTATATCCTACTGAATTTACTGAGAGGATAGAGGAATAAACCATAAATCAAAATTTCAATTTTTTCTCAAAGTTTTACCTATTCAAGGTAGAAGCGGGAGATATGGAAATCCTTAACTCCCTTGGGAGTTATGATATCCTTAACTCCCGCGCGGGAGTTATCAAATCCTTAACTTCCTTGGGAGTTAGACCCTGTTTATGATTATCGTAACCAAGGTATTATATGGTTATAATAGTTCAGTAGGATATAAAATTATCTATGTACCACGGGAATTATCAGGTGTTAATACCCACGGGCAATTGGTGTCCCGAGGGCCACACAAACGTTGCCCTGGGGTATTAACACCCTCATAAGTCCCTTGATACATAAATAACTATCTTCTAAATATTACCACCTACCTCGCTTCTGTTTTTCAACTTGTCTATTGGAGGTGCGTCCAAAGGAGCTGGAGGACCTTGAGGAGGCTGTTTTTCAGGTTTATCAGCGTTCAACTCTCCACTCCTGACTTTTTGTAGAATCTATAATTGAAATAGTACTTATGATTGTATACATAAAGCAATAATTTTAAATCATAAGTCATATCATATAAATCCCAATATTGAAAATAATTTTATAGCTAACCTGAATTACTTAAATAAAATAGTTATTTTTCAAACAGTCTTCTATATATTATTACCTCAAGACCAGGTCGAATTTGCGAAGAGCTTTTGTTTCTCAACTGGTCTGCTGGAGGTTGCCCCAGGGAACCTTGAGCGGGCTTTTTGCCTCTGTAGGTTTTTAGAACCTGTTTCTGTAATAATAATAATAATAATAATAACTAATGATTGTGTACACTGTTTTGTATCAAGAGCCCTAACTGTTTTAGGAAAAAAAAAAGAATCTCGGGCCTAGCATTTTATCTTTGTAGGAATAGAATAACCCCTTTCCATGTTAAATGACACAAAGTTGGAACACCTTCAAAGATGAGGAATTTATATTATTATTATGGATTACCAAGAGAATTTCATACATCTGTCAAAACTGATATTCCAACAATAAATTGACATGTTTTGATTGTTGATTTGAACCAATCAGATTGTAATTACGCGATAATTTGCACTAGTGCAAATTATCAGATAATTGCATACTAACTGGTGCGAAAACTGGTGTTTTGACATTTTTTGACAAAAAATTTAAATTTTTGATTTATGAAATTCTCTCATTAAATACAACTCGTGCAATGGAAATATATTTATAATTTTCGACAAATTTGCACTCATGCGTTTTTAACTGAAAAAGGCACTCGTGCACTACGTGCACTCGTGCTCTTTTTCAACTAAAAATGCATTCGGGCAAATTTCCCAAAAATTATCAATAATTTCCATTGCACTAGTTATATTACTATTGATTATTTCTCAGAAAGTCTTTCATATGTAATTATTACCTCAAGACAAGGTTCAGTTTTTGAAACGGTCTCCTCCCTGTGTTCCAATTGACCCACTGAAGGTTGGCTCAAAGGAAGGTCTGTAGGCTCTTTTTCAGGTTTGCTAGCACATGGTTTTTCGACTTTTCCATTTTTTAAACTGTTCGATCTTTGGTTGCATTTTCTTGATTCTATTGTGGTTTCACTACTAGGGACTTTTCCAGTTGTCATAGATTTGCTGACTTTTGTGCTGTTGTTCGATCTTTGGTCGCATTTTCCTGATTCTATTGCGGTTTCACTACTAGGAACTTTTGCACTTGCAGTAAATTTGCTGACTTTTGCGCTGTCCGTTTTTTTGGTGCTATCACTACAACTCTGAAAAGACTAAAAATAAATAATTTTTTCAACAGAAACAAGCAATATTTGTCAAGTTTTTATTACAGAATAAGATTATTTTGGCTTTCCAAGTTTTAGATAGGGTGGACAAAAAACAAAAGACTAATATATTTTGACAGTTATGCGCACAAATAGCATTTTCTTGAATGGAACACCCACTAAATTTTCAATTTGTTTGATAATATGTTTTATTCTGATTGCAATGTATACAATACGATACACTGGAATACAATTCACTTTATATTTACATGCAGAAACGTTTTATTTATTCTAACTGAAAATATTGATTACCTACACAGATTACCTGTAAAGGTAGGTAGGTAGACAAAATTTCCTATTAGAATAAATAAAACATGTCTGCATGTAAATATGAAGTAAATTGTATTCAATTGTATTGTATTGTATATAGTGCAATGAAACATATTATCAAACAAACTAAAAATTTACCGGGTGTTCCATTTGAAAAAATGCTACTTGTGTGCATAACTGTCAAAATATATTAGTCTTTTGTTTTTTGTCCACCCTATCTAAAACTTGGAGAACAATCCTACAGTATGTTTTTTTATTTATTTAAAAAACTTCAAAAATAAAAAAATTATGATAGTTTGTAATGTTATCAAGATAAAATAACCACCCTGTACATAATTATTACCTCAAGACAAGGTCCAGTTTTCGAAGAGGTTTCGCCCCTGTGTTCCAATTGGCTCAAAGGAAGGCCTGTGGGCTCTTTTTCAGATTTGTTAGCACATGTCACTTTTTTTAAACTGTTCGATCTTTGGTAGCATTTTCTTGATTCTATTGTGGTTTCACTACTAGGGACTTTTCCAGTTGTCATAGATTTGCTGACTTTTGTGCTGTTGTTCGATCTTTGGTCGCATTTTCCTGATTCTATTGCGGTTTCACTACTAGGAACTTTTGCACTTGCAGTAAATTTGCTGACTTTTGCGCTGTCCGTTTTTTTGGTGCTATCACTACAACTCTGAAAAGACTAAAAATAAATAATTTTTTCAACAGAAACAAGCAATATTTGTCAAGTTTTTATTACAGAATAAGATTATTTTGGCTTTCCAAGTTTTAGATAGGGTGGACAAAAAACAAAAGACTAATATATTTTGACAGTTATGCGCACAAATAGCATTTTCTTGAATGGAACACCCACTAAATTTTCAATTTGTTTGATAATATGTTTTATTCTGATTGCAATGTATACAATACGATACACTGGAATACAATTCACTTTATATTTACATGCAGAAACGTTTTATTTATTCTAACTGAAAATATTGATTACCTACACAGATTACCTGTAAAGGTAGGTAGGTAGACAAAATTTCCTATTAGAATAAATAAAACATGTCTGCATGTAAATATGAAGTAAATTGTATTCAATTGTATTGTATTGTATATAGTGCAATGAAACATATTATCAAACAAACTAAAAATTTACCGGGTGTTCCATTTGAAAAAATGCTACTTGTGTGCATAACTGTCAAAATATATTAGTCTTTTGTTTTTTGTCCACCCTATCTAAAACTTGGAGAACAATCCTACAGTATGTTTTTTTATTTATTTAAAAAACTTCAAAAATAAAAAAATTATGATAGTTTGAAATGTTATCAAGATAAAATAACCACCCTGTACATAATTATTACCTCAAGACAAGGTCCAGTTTTCGAAGAGGTTTCGCCCCTGTGTTCCAATTGGCTCAAAGGAAGGCCTGTGGGCTCTTTTTCAGATTTGTTAGCACATGTCACTTTTTTTAAACTGTTCGATCTTTGGTAGCATTTTCTTGATTTTGTTGTGATGTCACTACTTAGGAATTTTGCACTTGCAGTAAATTTGCTGACTTTTGCGCTGTCTGTTTTTTTGGTGCAATCACTACAACTCTGAAAAGGCTGAAAATAAATAATTTTTTCAATTGAAACAAACAATATTTGTCAAGTTTTCATTACAGAATAAGAATATTTTTCGAAAACTCTTTTACATAAATATTACCTCAAGACAAGGTCCAGTTTTCGAAACGGTCTCGCTCCTGTGTTCCAATTGACCCTCTGGAGGTCGGTTCAAAGGAAGGTCTGTAGGCTCTTTTTCAGGTTTGCTAGCACACGGTTTTTCAACTTTTCCGTTTTTTAAACTGTTCGATCTTTGGTCGCATTTTCTTGATTCTATTGCGGTTTCACTACTAGGGACTTTTGCACTTAAAGTAGATCTGCTGACTTTTGCGCTGTCCGGTTTTTTGGTTTTTGTTTCTGGTTTGTTAGCACATTGCATTTCGGCCTTTTCGTTTTTTAAACTTTTTGATCTTTGAGCGCATTTTCTTGATTCTATTGTGGTTTCACTACTAGGGACTTTTGCACTTGAAGTAGATATGCTGACTTTTGCGCTGTCCGCTTTTTTCGGTCCTGTTTCAGGTTTATTAGCACATGGCATGTCGGCCTTTCCGTTTTTTAAACTGTTCGATCTTTGAGCGCATTTTCTGGATTCTATTGCGGTTTCACTACTAGGGACTTTTGCACTTGAAGTAGATTTGCTGACTTTTGCGCTGTCCGGTTTTTTCGGTTCTGTTTCAGGTTTGTTAGCACATGGCATCTCGGCCTTTCCGTTTTTCAAACTGCTCGATCTTTGGTAGGATTTTTTTGATTCTATTGCCGTTTCACTACTAGGGAGTTTTGCACTTGAAGTAGATTTGCTGACTTTTGCACTGTCGGGTTTTTTTGGTTCTGTTTCAGGTTTATTAGCACATGGCATTTCGGCCTCTCCGTTTTTTAAACTGCTCAATCTTTGGTCGCATTTTTCTGATTCTTTTGCGGTTTCACTAGTAGGGACCTTTGCACTTGCAATAGATTTGCTGACTTTTGTGCTGTCCGGTTTTTTGGAATCTTTTTCAGATTTGTCAGCACATGGCATTTCGGCCTTTCCGTTCTTTAGACTGTTCGATCTTTGATCGCATTTTCTTGATTCTATTTCGGTTTCACTACTAGAAACTCTTGCACTTGGAGTAGATTTGCTGACTTTTGCGCTGTCCGGTTTTTTTGGTTCTGTTTCAGGTTTGTTAGCACATGACATTTCGGTCTTTCTGTTCTTTAAACTATTCAATCTTTGGTTGCATTTTCTTGATTCTATTTCGGTTTCACTACTAGGGACTTTTGCACTTGAAGTAGATTTGTTGACTTTTGCGCTGTCCGGTTTTTTGGGTTCGGTTTCATTTTTGTTAGTACATGGCATTTCGACCTTTCCGTTCTTTAAACTATTCGGTCTCTGGTCGCATTTCCTTGATTCTATTGCACTTTCACTACTAGGGACATGGATAGCAATAATTGAAGTAGATTTGCTGACTTTTGCGCTGTCCGGTTTTTTGGCGCGACCACTAAAACTCTGACGTTCAGAAGACTGAAAAATTGAGAAAAAATCAATGTGAACAAACAGTATTCATTTGTCAGGTTTTCTTTGCGAGAAGCTTTCGCCCTTGAGGGCGCTCTTTTTCAGGATTTTTAGTGTGTCACTTTTCACCTATGTATGTAATCTATAATAATAATATATTTGTTCATGAATGTACATATATCATACATGAAGCAACTACGCAAAGCAAATAAGTATTTTTTTAGATCTAGACTGTTTTGCAGCCCCTGATTGTTTCATGCAAATATTAGAGAAACCCATAATGGTTCCAGCAATCACTGCCTCTTAGCATTTCTATAATTTCGAAAAAAAACCTCATCCTATATAATACATAAATAAGTCACATGAATTGAAAGACTCTCGGGAATGTAGGAAGACCTAATCTTGGGAACTGCTGAAGAACTAGTAAGCGTATGAGGAGACACTATCTAAAGGTGAAACATTGAAATTAATTACTGACAAGAAATTAGTTTTAATATGTTCAACAAAACCTTCAGCTAAATGAAATTAGCTAAATGTTGAAATATACGCTAAAATCTGCTTATACCTGTTCGAAAGATAACAAAATGTATGTCATTAAAGTATATGTAGAATTGCACAGAACATAAGAATTGTTTAATCCTGTCTCCGTTCTCTGTGCAATAGAAGTTAATTTGAAGATGTATCTACTGCATTTCAAATAGTAATTATAACACTAAAAAGATTATTTTTCAAAAAGTACCTCAAGACAAGGTCTGTTTCGCAAAACGATTGTGCCATTGCTTTTCAACTGGTACACTAGAGGTTGATCCAAAGGAACGCTTGGGGTCTCTTTTTCTGGTTTCTTAGTACAAAGCTCTTCAATGCTTACATTTTGTAGGATCTATAATTAAAATAATATTTAATTATGATTGTATATCTTGTGAATATAATTACCTCAAGACCAGGTTGGATTGGCAAAGAGCTCTCGCCCTTGTTTTTCAACTTTTCTACTGGATGCTGGTCCGAAAGAGCTTGTGGGGGCTGTTTTCCAGATCTTTTGGCGCATAGCTCTTCGCATTTATCATGTTTTTGGATCTGTATCTGTAATTATAATAATAATTTACTAATGATTGCATATACCTACATAAAGCAATTTTACAAGTCAAATAAGTATTTTTTAGATTCACTGTTTTCTATCAAGGACCTCAAGTGTTTCCTCTAGCAACTTTGGGGAAATAAAAAAACCTCTTTCCATATGCTAAATGGCAAGAATTGAAACACCTACCAAAGATGAGAAATTTATTTCTGAGAATGTAAAAAGATCTCTGATGGAATTTTGGAAAAAAAGAAACCACAAGCAGCTCAAGAACTATAGTAAGTAAGCAAGCAATAAGGAAGATGTTCAACAAAACACTTCTCAGCTAACTGGAATTAATTAATAAAATTATTATTCAAGATAATTATTACCTCAAGACGAGGCCCATTTTTCAAAGAGTTGTTTATCACCTGGTCCGCTGGAGGTATACGCAAACGAGCTCGGAGGCGCTCTACAGGAACCTTAACGCACAGCTCTGCGGCCTTGTTGTTTTTCTGTATCTATAAAAATAATAATATTTTCAATCTAATAATTGTTTACACGTAATACATAAAGCAATTTCAAAAGTCGAATAAGTCATATTATATAAATACCAATAATGAAAAGAATTTTACATTTGGATGGATGTTTTTCAAGAGAAAAAAAATAAATTAAGTTACCTGGAGACAAGGTCCATTTGTGTGTTCCAACTGGCTCACAGGAGGTTGGCTCAAAGGAACGTCTGAGGACTTTTTTTCATATTCACATGGCATATTGTCCTTGCCGTTCCTAAGACCGTTTGATGTTTGGCTGCATTTTCTTGATTCTTTTGTGGTTCCCCTACCCGGGACTTTTGTACTTGCAGTAGATTCGCTGCCTTTTGTGCTGTCCATTTCTTTGGTGTGGTCACTACAACTCTTACTTTGAGAAGGCTGCAAATAAATAGGGAAAACAGGTAGATTTTGCCAGGTTGCTATCACAGATTTTTTTTTAATGAAAGCCACAAATTCAAAAAATATCTATTTAAGTTTGAATATTTAAATTGGAAAACTATTGTAAACAGGTCTGCTATCATTAACAATTTTAGAAGTAAATAAACACTACCTACATACTTATATTTGTGAACGAATAACTAAATATACAGTGAGCCTAAAATGAATAGTAATCATCTTATTTGGAATTTGTTCAAAGTGCCATGGGGATTGCTTGACTCTTGACTTGAAGAAAGTTGAAGTTGAACTAACAGTTTTAACTTTTAATGGCAAGTGGTTACTCCAACCTTAAAAGCACATAAGATATTTTAACTCTACTCCAAAAACTGTTAAGAAGGCCAGGATCCGAAAACCTAACAGGCAAAAGTATTAATCTTTTGCTATTTTTTAAGTTTTAGTTGATTGAATACACAATTACCAAAATATTCAAAAATGTATAAGCTCCTTCTTGGGTAATGTTTCTTAGGACAAAATTGAGCAATAAGTGTATGACATTCAGTCGATTTTCAGATAACCAGATTTAAACAATAGAGTTATTACCTTCAAACAATGTTCATCATGCAAAACGCTTTTGCCTGTCTTGTTCAGTTGGCTAATTGAAGACTTGCGACCGAAGAAGCGTGTGTCTTGTCTAGGTTTTTCCGGTTCTACAAACTTGTTGCTTTTTTTCGGTCTCCCGCGTTTTCTCCGTACTTCTTCTGTGCCACTTACGGAGTCTGATCTACTTGCACCAGAATTGCAGTCTGATTTTGTATGGCTCTTCAGTCTCCCACTTTTTCTTGTATCTTCTTCAGTGCCACTGCTACTAGAACTGTTGTCTGACGTTGTTCGACATTCGCTACGACTCGCAGTTTGATGACGCTGAAAATAACATAAATAGCGATTCAATCTTCCAGTTTCACCCTGGAACTCGTGGCCGACATCCATCAGAATGAAACATTAATGGAAAATTACTAACCAATTCAAGACTTTTCTTCGCCTCGGCTGCTCTCTGGGCTAAGGCTATTTTCCGAGCCACTCTCCGTCCATAAGTACTCCATGGTTTTTTCCTATTTCTTATTACCTTATTGCCTGGGCTTTTCCTTCCATCCTGTTCCGGATCAGAACTACTGGAAGAATCCTCAGCATACTTTGCTGATTTGTTCGGAGGTGATGCACATTCGAACGACTCAGCAATGTTATTTCCTTTGTGTTGATTAGAGACCTGAAAAAGAATAAAATTTGAATTGGAAGTATGAAGAGTTGAGTTACATTTTTATTATAGGCCTCTTAATGGGTAAAACTGACGAAGAATCTTGGAATGGTATAAAACTCATGGCTTTTAAAATGAAATCACAGGGAAGAATATTTCAGAACTTAAATATTAAATTCATGGCTGAAAAAAATAACAGCTGTTATATGTTTTGCTACATTGTAGTTTCGGTTTTAGACTTAGCAGTGAACCTATGAGGAGTCCGAATTATGCTCGGTTCCATGTTCTATAATTATTATAATTTTAATATTAGACCAGTAATTAAGTCAAAAGAATACTTTGACACAGGTCCAAAATGCTGAAGAAATGATAAATATAAAATTCAATAATTCAGTTTGCAAAATATACAAAATACCGTTTTCATAAATATTGAAATAAAAGTGGATTTTTATTATAGTGAGCATACAGTAAGTTGATCTTCGAATAAACAAAGTGTATATATGAAATTATTACCTCAGAACAAGGTCTTCCATGCAAAAAGTCTGTCGTTTCCAATTGGCCAACTAGAGACTTCCGAGTGGAGAAGCGCGTGGGCTCTAGCCTAGGCGCTTGCTCTTTCTTAGGTTTTTTTGGTTCGTTTTCCAGTTTCTCTCCTGTTTCACCTCTGGAGATTTTTATAATTGCACCAAAATTGCTGTCCGATTTTGTATGGCTGTCACTACCACTCTCACTCTGAGGAGGCTGAAAATAAATTAATCAATTTATTAACAAAAACCCCAAAAAAAGTTACTTACCAGTTTAACACTTTTCATCTTCTTCTCATTGGCTATTTTATTTGCTTGAAAATCCGCTTCCCAGCATCTTTTCAGATTCACTCTCAGTTCTTTCATTTTAGGTGGACTTTTCCTTACATCCTGTTCTGGAGCAGAATTTATGGGCAAATTGTCAGCACACTTTGCTGATTTCTTTGGATTTAGTGGACAAGGCGCATCTGAATTTTCAGTAGTGATTTCTACATCTTCTCTCATGTAGTTTTCTAAAAAGTCCTGGAAAAGCATAAAATAAGAATTAAAAGTATTAAAAGTTGTTTAAGAGAGTCTCCAATGAACCCTCTTTCTCTGATCACAGAATTATAATGTTTAAGTAAAAGAAGTGCAGGAAGGAACTACCTCGTATAGAAACCCCAGAAATACGAACTGGGAAAAATACACAACCAAAAAGCTGCAAGAATATCCATGAAGTAGAAGGAACCCTTCATATCCTTAATGGGGCAAACATTGAGGCATACGAATCCAGCTGTTCCGTGAAAGAACAAGTAAATAAATAAGAGCTAAATATTCTTATAAGCATGGATGGAAAAGCACGCTGAATCTTGAAAAATGGAATATGAGGGCTTGGAAATGCAAGTTTGACCAAAGGTACATCACCAAACCCCCTGTTATCTTAAATTAATGTAAATTTGATATAAAACTAATCTTGTAACAACTTCTTTTATGCTTGAGTATTTGCTAAACTGTGACAGGTTCCATTCTTCTTAAAAGATTTTGAACAGAAAAGGAAGACATTCTTGATCAAGGAACCACTTTACAGTAGAAGGAAATATCTGGATTGTGAGTGAGAAATAGTCACAAGAGCTACAATGACATCATTTAGATTTCAGAAATTTAGTTGAGAATCAAATAACCAAAGTTTATTACCTGAAAACTGCATCTCACCTTCAGAGATATGTCGCTGGTACTTTTCGGTTGGCCCAGGCGTGTGGAGAACCGCGTTGGCTTTTGCCAAGGTATTTTAGACTGCGTTTTCGCATGGTTGGTAACTGGATCCTTTCCTGTCTCAGTTTTTCTTGATTCTTCTCTGGTGCCACATTCATTACTTGAATTGCTGTCTGATTTCCTATTGCTGTCACTACAGCTCTTACTTCGATAAGGCTGAAAATAAAATAAATAACAACATCTATTTTTTGTACATGAAACAGTTTTACTGCCCAAACCAAAATCAACCTTGGAAGTTATTTACCAATTTATCACTTTTCATCTTCTCTTTAGGTGCTTCTTTTTTCATATTTGGCATGTGTCTTTTATGGGGTGGGCTTTCTCTCCCACCCTGTTCCGAATCCAAACTGGAGCAGTTGTCAGCATATGTTGTCGATTTGTTTAGATGTCCATTAACTATATTTCTTTCCGATTTTGGATTGACAAACTTCGAATTATTGATGCTATTTGTGGGAAGAGTCACGCAATTTCCAGTAGTGCCTTTTAGGTATTTTTTGGTCTGTGTTGGTAAGGTTGGTAACCAGGCCTGAAAAAGAATAAAAAATGTGAATTAAAACAGATAACCAAAATTTGATAAGAAAGTTATTATACCTCGAAACTTTTCCGCAAGGACCTTCCATTTTTCGTTTTCAGTAGGCCCACTAAAGCCCTGCGAGCGGAGAAGCGTGTAGGCTCTTGTCTAGACTTGTTGCTTTTCGCAAATTTTTCCTGTTCGCTTTTTGTCGGTCTCCCGAATTTTCTCCGTACTTCTTCTGTGTCACTTACGGAGACTGATCTACATGCACCAGAATTGCTGTCTGATTTTGTATGGCCGCCATCGCTTTTTGTCGGTCTCCCGCGTTTTCTCCGTACTTCTTCTGTGCCACTTACGGAGACTGATCTACATGCACCAGAATTGCTGTCTGATTTTGTATGGCCGCCATCGCTTTTTGTCGGTCTCCCGCGTTTTCTCCGTACTTCTTCTGTGCCACTTACGGAGACTGATCTACTTGCACCAGAATTGCTGTCTGATTTTGTATGCCGGCTGCTATCACTCTCACTCTCAGGAGGCTGAATATAGCAGCGTTTTCTTGGTACTTCTCGGGTTTCCCTATTGCTGTCTGATTGTGTATTGAAGTAGGATTTTTCATCATTGTCAATTGCCGCACTTTGAGGTAGCTGTAAATAAATAATTTTCTTACTTACACTAGTTTGTACCTAAATTCAGCACACCCCAAAATTCAATTAAAACCAATATGAGGAATTATTAAAGCATCCAAAGAGGCATATTGACAGGACAAAGCAAATTAAAAAGCAGAGATTTGTTGGAAAGTTACTTACCCATAATTCATCTCTTTCATTCCTATTTCTTAAAACCATTTTTTTTTCTGGAGCACTCCATCTTCGGCTGTTTCTCTGTTTTATTTTTAGTAGTTTCTTTTTAGGTGGACTTGCTTTTCTTTCTTGTTCGGTATCAGAGCTGGACGAATCTTCAGCATAACTCACCAAACTTTTTCTTCTGAGTTTCAGAATTTTTTTTCCCATCTCTATTGAATTGACTTGGTTCAGTGGGTTTTCGTTTTTCTACTTATGGGTACTAGTACTATAGGGAGTCACTTGAAACACCACTGACAAGCAAGGGCCAGATATAAATCCTGAAAGAGAATTAATGACAAATAAATTTGAAGTTTATAGGGCTTAATATGAGGTAGATGTTCAGTGAATGACTAATACTAGCCCGTTCACTTATCTTCATTTCCTTTTTCTATGATGTGCTCGATGATATGAGTGTATACCACTATTTCAGATAATTTATCATAAAAACATCATGGCATAATAATAGCCCCCTCAGTTAATGTTAATAATGTTTACTTAATATTTTCTTTTCACTGTTAGAGATTATTTGTGATACATTAGTTTTGTTTCTTTGTTTAGCAAAATAACACAATAAAACCCACTTCTTCTGAAATGTTTGTACAAGAAAAACTACATCAAAATAATTGGGTGATTGTAGATTATCGAACAGAAAAATATATAGGAAAAGTAATATGTATTCGAAAAATATGGCGCTATTATTAGTGGTATGGCGCCATGCCAAGTAGTTTTCACAAATGGAAATTACCTCATCATGTTTTTTGGCACCCAAATAAAGCCAGTTAAGAATATAAATAATTTTAGTCGAGATTTAAGAGTTCCAGGGATTTTTACGATCAAAGTTTCTGTGCTTTACTTTATCTGTACAAGTTAAATTAATCTGCAAAGAGAAAAAAATTAACTTCATGTCAGAGTTGTCTTAAATTTGGCATAAACATTCTTTGATCGATTGTATACAATACCAACATTTTAGTTTTTCGATATTTTGCCTTTTACTCAAAATGAAAAAAGTATGTTACCTGTTGCTTATTTTTCAAGGTTCAAGTCATTATGGAATATTTCTAAGAAGTGAAGAAAATACGTGAATAAAATCGAAAAACCAAAATATTGGTATTGTAGAGATGATTGATCAAAAAATGTTTACCCATTCCAAATTTGAGACAATTCTGATTGATGTGAGGTTTACTTTTCTCTTTGCAGGCGAATTTGAAAAAAAATAACCAATCAACTGACAGATTTCAAGGTAATTAACGCCCCCTTAAGTGATATTTTAAAGAACATAATACTAATTTTCTTCGCATTTAATAGAAAATTCGATGTGGAACATTTAAGCAATTAGTAATTAGTAGAAAAGTTTTTTATTTTAAGAAAGAAAAATTCCTTATCCCTGCAACCTATAACTGACAAGGAAATGATCGAAACAATAAAACTACATTACAAAACTATTATTAATCCATTGGTACATATTATATGCAATCTTGCGTTCAGCCAATGCCTACCCATTTCCAGATATATTAAAGACCGATTTTAGAACTCCATTGCACAAAGAAGGGGATCGAAAAGATGTTAATAATAACTAGCGACCGATAGCAATCATTAATTCTATTGAAGTAGATACCCAATTGAAACAAACAATAAAAACAGGATGTGGGACTTTCTTGATAAAAACAGAATAATTTCACAAAACCAATTTGGTTTTAGGGGGCGGCTTGTAGTACAAAGGATGCTGTATTTAAGTTACGGGATTGTATTTTTGAGAACTTTAACCAAAATAAAAAAACAAAAAACTACAGCGATATTATATGATTTAACCTCGGATTTAACATACTGTGGCACAAAATATTTTACTGAAAATAGCCGAATCAGGGGTGAAAATTTGTAAAACAACCTTCCTCAAAGGTTATAAAGATGGAAATAAAACTTATGTTAGACGTATTTCTTTTTCAGTATCGCAATAGGTACGCCACGCCTCACACTACTACGGTTGCCTTCTACCAGTAACGTAATCAAAAATAAATTGAAAAAAAAATAACATAGAAATAGCAACGATGTTTCATTCTCTATAGGCAAAAGGGTTTGGGCTTGTGATCATCGCATCGCCTTAATTCAGATGGAAGCAAAATGGTTTCAAGGAGTAGTTCGCGATGTACTTGGCCGAAGAATGATGTGTATATTGAGGTAGATGGTGGAAGTATTTGGAAAAGACATGTTGCTCAATTAAAAAACGACTATTCTTGTAAAGAAAACAACGCAACTATTATTCCACGATCCACTATCTAACCTCACAACAATGAATTCCGAAATGGAAGAGAATGTTATTTCAATATCAGATTCAATTAGTCTGGGAACGAAGATCGGAAATTTGGTTATTCTAGAGTTTTAGTCAACGCCGTCGCTATAGGTTCCAGTGAACGAACGTATGTTACGTAGGCCTAGCAAAATTAGGGTTGCTGGACCGTTTACAAGTGTCTTAGGTTTTAGTTAGGGTAAGTTAGTGAATTCATTTATAGTCCAGGAGGTGGCGCCAAAAACATGCAAGAGTTTTCGCAAGGCGGATATTTTCAAAATAGGTCGTACTTTAGTGCTAGAATGCTAGTGTACAGTCAGCACTCACAGTTCCGGGACAGCTGGCTCTGGGACGCGGGCAAAGTTGTAATTTTAAGAAGCATCTATACTGTTTTCTCAAAGCTCAAAATTTATAGAAATTTTGCACATTATCTGTTTGAAGGTCACAGATAACGTATGTAAATCGTCAGACGTCTAGTTCCTTGCAAAAAGGGGGTCAGACGTCCTCAAAGTTTTTATTTTATGGCATTTTCTTCAAATATATTTGTCAAATACCTGCAAAAATATATTTTGACAGGACACCGAAGAAAATGCCATAAAATAAAAACTTTGAGGAAGTCTGACCCCCTTTTTGCAACGAACTAGACGTCTGACGATTTACATACGTTATCTGTAACCTTCAAACAGATAATGTGCAAAATTTCTATAAATTTTGAGCTTTGAGAAAACAGTTTAGATGCTTCTTAAAATTACAACTTTGCTCGCGTCCCAGAGCCAGCTGTCCCGGAACTGTGAGTGCTGACTGTACACTAGCATTCTAACACTAAAGTACGACCTATTTTGAAAATATCCGCCTTGCGAAAACTCTTGCATGTTTTTGACGCCAGCTCCCAACTATTAGGTTTATACAGCGTTTCTGAATAAGATCAAACTTCTAGGATAAACAGTACTCATTAAAATAAGAAAAAAGTTGATAGAAACATGGCTCCGCAAACGCTTAGCTTTCGAGAAACAGGGTGTCAAAATGCATAGATTTGTTAGGGGCTAAAGTCTTTGTAGATGATGTTAACTTTATTTATATATTAGTAGTTTATATTTCAACTAATTGTGGTCTATTAGAGAGGAAACATCTATTCTCATATATTCGAAGTCAAGAATGTATTTACCACAAAAAAATCAAATTGGTGGGAGATCTTAATATTAACCACTTAAACGACTATTATGTTGGTAACTTCAGGGATCAACAGAAAAATATGTTTTTGAATTTTTTCAGATTTTTCAATTGCCACCCAGATGAATCAGGTACTAAATGTAAATAACCGCTTACTTGATGTTGTAACTAATAGGGTATATGAATGTAATTTTAGTTCAGTCGACATTAATACACACCATCCTCCACTTATGATAGAAATTGAGTTTAAAACCCCTAGACAAAAAAATTTGACAGGGAATGAGAATAGTTACAGGGACTGATCGGTTTTTTGGAAGAGCCACTTAGCATTTTGTTCAACCTTTCATTGAGGACAAACACTTTTCCTCAAGCATGGAAGGAGGCAAGGATTTGTCCTGTATTCAAAAAAGGTGATGGCACGGATGTGAAAAATTATAGGCCTATATCACTGTTGTTGTGCCTGGCCAACGTATTTGAGTCCATCTTATTTAAGCTCATGTATAATTTTGTGAAAAACAAGATATCACCCAGACAACATGGTTTACTAAATAAGCAATCTACGGCTAGTAATTTGTGTGAGATGACTCAGTATACTGCTGAGAGCCTTGATGGAAGATGCGAGGTCGACGTAATATACACAGATTATACCAAGGCTTTTGACAGAATATCGCCTAGCATTCTTATACAGAAGCTGTGCAATGAGTTTGGTTTTCATGATAGTCTGGTAACTCTTTTTAAGTCTATGTATTTACATAATAGACCACAATGAGTTGTTGTCAGGGGTTACTACTCCGATTATTTTTGTGCAACTTCAGGTATTCCGCAGGGCTCCAACCTTGGACCATGTATAAAAAAACTAAAAAAACTTATACTAACTTAAGTATTGAATGTAACATGGTTTCAGGTGTAAAAATTTTCAGGTAGAATCGTCGGATTAGGGAAATAGTTCAAAAATTCTGTGGCCTAACTTCAAATATCATCAAGCTGGAAAATTTAGATAAATTACTCGCAATGGAAGAACTTCAGCAAAAATAATGAGCAATTGCAAGCCCAACTAGATAGAATGGAGCGAAGTTTAGCGCAAATGCGAGTATTGGAAGCTAGCACCAATAACACAACAACAGTGACCAATGTACCACCCCCAGAGAAGTTCTCTTTTGTGCCATTGGAATGGAATGCGTGGTTAGTGAATTATGAACGAAACTGAGATGTGACAAATGCAGCCCAAATGAGTGAAAAAGCACAAGTTGATAGTCTCCTACTCAATATGGGACCTGAAGTTAACCAACTTTTGGATAGCACCAGTCCAACTAATGTACAGATAAGTACATATAGTAATATAAAACAATTCTTCAGGTGGATTACAATAATCCTACTCCATGGTGTGCACCAATGGTTTGTGTCCCCAAAACAAATGATCAAGTTAGAATATGTGCCGACTTCACTGAGCTCAATAAATTTGTATGCAAAAGTATTGTCACGGCTCTGGATTGCCGGACAGAAAACTTGGGTTCGTTTCGTTTATTCCAAAATCAAAGTCCAATTAACACAGCAATAATTTATTCCACTTAACTATACACTCTGAAACTAATTACCGTAATAACTAACTCGACAATTAAACTCTTACAACTCGCAACAATAATTACTATTTAAATCGTATCACAGTCAAACTGAAACTTGAAACTGCAAAGCAATAGCGGCCTTTATATATCCCTAAATCTATTCCTGTACAATCTAGAATACACAAGATAACTCTTCTTCTAGAAAATTCCGCAAGAATCCCGCTAAGCTGTTGGATTCTTGACATTCTGGCGGCGTAACAGT